AACAGCTTCCCCAAAGAAAACCCCACTCTATTCTAATCTTGTGAGTCCTAGTTACTATTTGTTCCACTTTCTGGAAAAAAAAAAAAAAAAAAGGAAGAAAGAAAGAAAGAAAACCAAGGGCAGAAACTAGATGTCTGGATATGTGGATTCTAGTTTGGCCTAGCTCTGCCACGTCACTTCCACTCCTTAGTCTTTGATAGTTACTGATCCCAACTTGGTCCGCTTGCCCACCGCACAGCAAAGCCAATTTACTGACACCAGGTTGTGGTGAAGGAAAGTAGTGTTTATTTACAGGGCACCAAGCAAGGAGTACATGCTCAAAAGACCCAACTCCCTGATGGCTTTCAGGGAGATGCTTTTAAAGGCAACATTTAGGGTGAGCATTGCAAAGGGCATGACTTTCTTCTGATTGGTTAGAGGTGAGGTAACAGGGTGGTGTTTCAGGAATTTTAACCATCAGCCTTCTGATTCCAACCAGCCTGGAGTCTAGTGGTCAGCATGCGATCACCATCCTCCACCCAGGTGGGGGTCTTAGTTCCAGTTCCTACAGAACAACTCAAAGATACATGTCAGATTGCTATGTATACCCCTTGAGGAGGAACTAAGACTGTTTTATTGTGGAACTATTGTTTTTTAACTAGTTTTCCTTTGTTTCTGCATTCCCTCACTTCCCTAATTAGTAACTGCTTGAATCTGCTCTTTGGAACTCAGAGAAGGCCTAGGAGACAAAAGCCTTTTCTTTACAAGAAATAGGAGACGTGGAGGGAGGTTTTGTATCCAGGAGGGCCTTGCAGGGTCCTGCTCAGTTTCAATAGCGACTCTGATAATTTTCTCTAAGGACTCCCTCCACATGGTTACTGGTTAACCTCCACATCTCCTCTCTCTCCAGTCTTCTGCCTTCACTGTACTACAGCCACAATGCAGCCTTAAACGTGCTGTTCTCTCTGACTGGGACACACCTCTCCTGCTTCTGTGTCTGTTTAATTCCTACTTATCCTTTAGGCCTGAACTCAGGAATCAGCCTCTCAAGGAAGTCTTCCCTGATTTATTGATCTAGGTTAGGACCCTCGTATGGGTTCCCATAGCATGCTGGCTCTCCTCCGACTCCTTCGCTTTGTTTACTGTCTGGTTTGCCAGCTGGAATGTATGCCTAAAGGTGAGGATCCTGCTTTTTTATTTACTTCTGTGTCCCTTATGCTTAGCACATAGTTGGCACTCCATAAATATTGGCTATGGTTGGAGAAAAGCAACTAAGCAGTGCATCCTAGGAAGTTTCCCCAGGTTGCTACCACCTTCACTTTCACCTCCCTTTGTCCCAAATGTAACGGGGTATGTAACAAGATGAACATTTCTATTAATCACCAATGCTTTCCTGGGGAGAGCACTGTGTTTGCTTAGAAAAAATATTCAGTTAGCACATATATGGTTAAGAACATGGACTCTGAGGATAGATTTCCTGGTTTTGAATCATGGCTCTGCCACTTAATGGCTGTAAAACCTTAAGTAAGATACCTAACTTCTCTAGACTTCAGTTTTGTCATGTGTAAAATGGGGATGAAAATAATAGTAACTTAGAGGGTTGTTTTGAGGATTATATGAATTAACACACATAAAGGACTTAAGAATTCCTGGCACACAGAAACACTTCGTAAGTACTAGCTAGTATCATTAAATTATTAAACCATCAGGGGCGGGGGCTGAGGTAAAGGAACCAAAGTTGATCCCCAAATTCTGCTTGTCAGGAGAGTGGTCCTACTCACTCCAGGATTTCTGTTTTGTAGGATGTTTGGGAAAAGTTGCTGGATCCAAGTTGATTTACTATGCCAGTGAGAGAGGAGATAACTTTGACACTGGCAGGAGAGGGAGGCAAGATTCATTAGTACATCTAACAAATATTTACTGAATTCTATACTGTGCTAGACATAAAGGAAAGTAAGACAGTCACAGCTGTTACAGAGCTCTCAAAGAATCAAGAAAGTAGAGAGAAAGTAGAGAGGCTGGCTCCTGGGGTGGGGAGAGAGGAGTGGCAGAGGTAGGGGAGACCAGAACAGTTTCTCTTCAGTAAGTGTGGCACAGGACAGGAGGATCTTGAAAGAACAGAAATGCTAAGGCAGGATTTTTAAAGCATCTGCTATAGGATGTGTCATGTAAATCCTCCCTTCTATTCCCTACAAAATCTTCAATAAAGTTTTCATTGCTCACTAGAGAGAGAGCTTGAAGAAGATAGCAAGTATCTGGGTTATAGCTGCTAGGGAAAAGATGGTATAGGCAAAAAAAAAAAAAGCCCTTTCTTACTCTTGTGTGCTGCCAGTGAGGAAACATTATACTGTATGCAATATTTAATGATTATAAACGGTACCCCCGTGCACTGAATAATACAAGGCTCTTCAAAATGAATATAAATTAACAGTATCAACAGCAATCATATTAACCAAAGAGAAGCATTATTCAAGGTAGGAAACTTGAAACTCCGAGGAGAAAGGGGCCATATCTGAAGCTGGAACTCAGATATGACCATCAACCAGCCCCTCTGCAGTTAATTAGTCAAACTGGTGATTCCTCAGCAATTACAACTTGTCATTTTATGAACTATTGTTTATGATGATGCAGACTTTCTTTTTTATTTTTTTGGTGTGGTGGGGTAATTAGGTTTATTATTTATTTTTAGAGGAGGTACTGGGGATTGAACTCAGCACCTTGTGCATGCCAAGCATGCACTCTACCATCTGAGCTATACCCTACCCCCTGCCCCTGACTTTCTTAAACATAAATGTCCAAAGGTTTAGGTGAGGGGAAGGAAGGGGCCCACTATGTACTTACTGCTTCCATCTTTCTTTGACTTCCAGTTTTTCACTTTTACATCTTACCATCTTTTTAAATAATAATTTAAAGAAATATATATATACATATATATATATATATACGTGTGTGTGTGTGTATATATATATATATATATATATATATATATATAGCAGCAGCCTAAGAAGTAATCAGTCATCAACCAAAATAAAACAAAACTAACAATTTGCCTGAATTTCCAAGAGTGAAATAAATAAAGCTCTGTTGGAATTTACCTACACAAATTGAGCCTTTGGGGGGAAAAGAGAAATAAACTACTCTTTTTTTTTCCTATTTGTTTACTGTATAAACCCTGGGGTTTCTGCATCGTATAATGTGACCACTGATTAGAAAGATATATGGTTGTCTATTAATGTTCTCAAAAGCACTATGCAAATTCATAACACCTTGGGTACATTTTTGCCCCTGAAGTTATGAAGTAAATACGGAAGCATTTTGACGTTAAGGTTAAAATATGTTAATTCAACAGTTGTCTTTGAAGAGGATTTTCTTTTAAATCCTTAATAGGAAAACAAAGAGAACTTGGGTGGTCAAGAGTGAAATGTAAATGAGAGTAGTCTTCTTGTTTAGGCCTTATCAGCTGATGTCACCTGATGTTAAAATTTAAATTTGATAATGCAGAAAATGACCTTACAAGTTGCAGTATCATGAAACAATGCAGCTTATGCCCCAGATTTTTTGACAGTAGTATTGAAACTATGATTTTTAAGTAACATTTGCAAATGACAAGGTCAGTGAAAAAATTAGACATTCTGAATTGAGTGGAGTCAGAAAAAGAGCTTGCCTGCCCTTTTATCAATGTATGGGGCCATATTTTTTTTAAACATAAATTAAGATAGAAGAGCAAAGCAGAGACAAACCTAGATCTCTTTAAATGGATTTAAGTCACCAGTGAAATTCCTAAAGGGCCAAATAATACAGGAAGCAGATACTTTTGCCCTCTTATTAAGATGAGGAATATATTTAAAGCAGAAAAAGACTTTACAAACCTCTTTTCAGCTTTCCAGTATGTAATCAGCCACAGAATGGCAACCATGTTCTATTGTCAGACAGCTGGTGATAAATGCAAAGTACAGCTGCAACTAGAGGCTCTGGGGGATCAAGGTGGACCCCAGGCCTTGGCTCTCAGCTTCTATCATTCTGCTACCAGAAAGAGAGAACTTCAGAGAAAGGGCAATTAAAAATACATACATTTTAGCTAGGTAATAACCATAACTACCTCCTTAAAGATAATGATTCATCCTACGATTATAAGGATTATATACTTTCAATTTAGGTGTTAGTGACCCTCTTTTTTTCTTCTTCTTCTTCTTTCAGACCTAAGGAGGGTGGGGAACAAAGACATCAGGGTGCCACAAATTTCTATCAAACAAGAAAATGAACAAATTTAGTGGCCTTGGGAAACTATGAAGTTTGTGGCAGCTTTTCCCACGAATGGAGTCTTTTTACAGGGATAACTAAATTCATGGTACAGTTAAGCAATGATTCAAGGTCATGCTAAAATATCCTAAATCTGTTTTACTTTAAAGCATTCTAAGTATGCTTTACTTTGGAAGGCACCACCAATAGCAATACACCATCTTCCAGAAATGCATTTCTGTACCAACAATACACTTAAGTAATCGGAATTACTATAAAGGCACACCCCTGAGCAACTATCATAGTGCACTGAGCTCCTAGGAATATTCTGGAAGCATCACTGTGAACGGCTGCCTCTCTGTAGGGGAAATAAATGAAATTCAGCAGAAGTAGCAGCTTTTGGAAGGAGAAACACGGTCTGCCTCTCAGAATGCTTTTCTACCAGAAGAGGTTTACTGAGAGCTACGGTCGTCTGGCGCTTTAAGTCTCTGGACCGTTGAGTATCACTCCGCCTTTTTTGAAATTACAAAATACCTTCTATGGGATGGCGGGAATAGAAAGTTTGGGAATTAAATGCCTAAGACTTCAGATAACCCAGATGTCATATATGCAATAGCATTCCATAAAGAACTTATTCAACTCAATCCCTTGCATCTTTTTAACTAAGGCACAGAAACTCCAAATTTTGCACCCAAAAACAGGAGGGAAAATGCAAAGGTCTTGCTGCAACTACTGGGACGCACTGAGAGCCACTTTGTTACAAGTGTATCCAATGTCCCCAGCACCAGGGACTTGTGGGGCGCTGCTCATCCCTGCTCCATTCGCTCCGCAGCTCCCAGAGGTGGCGGTTGTACTACGAAGGCAGACCTTGCCAAACTGGCCGACAACATGCTGCGCACCCCTAAGTGCTCGCGGTGCCGGAACCATGGCTTCCTGGTGCCCGTCAAGGGCCATGCGGGCAAATGCCGCTGGAAGCAGTGCACCTGCGAGAAGTGCTACCTGATCACCGAGCGCCAGAAGATCATGGCCGCGCAGAAGATGCTGAAGAAGCAGGCCTCCGAGGAGGAGCACGAGGTGGCCCTGTGCGCGCAGGGGCCCCAGCTGGCCTCCGGGGCCAGGGCCGCGGCCGCCGTCCCTGGCTCCAGCTTCCACTCGCTGCCTCTGCTTGCCGCTTCCGGAGACGGGCAGCCGGGCCCCGAGGGCCGCGCAGCCGCCTACTTCCCCGAGAGACCCCCGCGTGGTCCGAGCCCCGGCCCGAGCGCCTTCCATCCAGTTCTGGGCGGCCGCGGCCACGGCCACGTGGGGCCGAGCGCACTTGCCGCCGCAGGCGTGCCGGGTTCTATGGAGGACGCAGGTCGGAGAGGCCCTGGCCGCCTGGAGCTGCGCAGGCCGCTGCGGCCTGTGCCCAGCCCACCGTCTGCCGACTTTGGTAAGATTCCCGGGCCCCGCGCGGGATCGGTTCCTCTGTGGGCTGCCGCCTCCCCGCTCCTCACGCTGGCGTCCCAGGCCAGCTCGGATCCAGCGGGGATGCGCCCTTGGGGTGGGGGTGGGGAAGAAGTTTTCTAGAGATAACCTTGCTTTGGTAAATCTTTCTTTGAATAGGCATTTGCATTCCGTGCCTTTTTGCAACAAGGTAAAAAGAGAGAAAAGAGTGGGTGGTTCTGAGGGCTTTTAACATTTAGCTACACTTTCTGCCTTTCCATCTTGCAAGAAAAAAATGGCCCCCAGTGGGCTCAGCTGTGGCTCCTCCACGGAGACGCCCTAGGGAGAGGGGCCGTACTGCGCTTGCGCACGTCTTCCCGCCCTTTTCTTGGGCTGAAGGCTCCTCCCCAGGACGTCCCAGTGGGTGGGCTAGCGCAGCAAGACTGCGCCTGCGTACCATTCTTCCCTGCCTGTGCCCTAGAGGCCCCGCCCCTCAGCCACACTCTGACCCATTGAGTCTGTGCAGCCCTTCCCGCCCTTTGCCAGGCGCTCCCTACAGGTGAGCAGTTATTCTATTGAGATGTCGTTGCCCTTCTTTTCTCCCCTCCCTCCACATGCATAAATTACATTGTTATCCCCTCCCTTCATATGCATGAATCACATCGTTCCCTGTATCTTGCTCCTTTCACTATTACAGCTTAAAGTCACGTGTAGATTTGAGGCGTTTTAAAAGGAACTCTTTTTGGGTGCAGACACATATTTTCCTGGTTTTCCCTATGCCAGTGTGATAGAGCACAAGTCTGAGTCAGCATGCTTGAGGGGGCTGCTCACTCTGTAAACTTAGGCAAGCTCCTTCCTTCTGTTGGGGTCTCTCCATATGCTAAGGGCATTGACCTGGATGCGCTGGGGCCGTTTCTGCCTTCCGGGACATTCTAGGAAAATCTAGGTCCCTAGGGAACTAGATAGGGAGGACAGATCTGAAACAGCAATCCTAGGAGATGGATACCTTTCCAGGGACACAGGGCCTTTTTTTGTTCCATCTCTCGAAGGACAGGGACTGAGCACTTACCTATGTGCCACATACTAGTGATGAAGAGGTAAGGGAGTGCAAGTCAGATCCCTTGACCTCAAGGATCCTATCCTTGTAAGAGGGACAGCACTGACCAAAAGAATCACACCAATTGATGTGTAGAACTCTAATAATCGATGGTTTAGATGTGATCTGAAGGAAGATTAGGAGCTGTGTACTGAGGATTTAAGGAGGCAAAGTGAGGTTAGGAGAAAAAGCCTTTCAAGCTGAGGTAACAGCATCTGCAAAGGCTCTGAGGTGCAGGAGAAAGAAGCAGCCCCTAGGTTATGGGACATCAGGAGGCTGGAGTGGAGGCAGGAGCCAGCCTGCATGGGGCTTTGTGGCTGTGCTGAGGACTTTTTCTAACAGCAGTGGGACGTGGTAGAAGGGTTTAAAAAGCAGGCAGGATCAAAAGCATAATGGATGTGGGAGTTCTCTGTAAGTGGATATGAGTATTTATTATACTGCTACCTTTGGACAGTAATGTGCCCCCTTTTTTCCTAAATCCATGTGTCTTTAACATTTCCCTCATTGCTTGTCTCTTCAGGGCTGTCTCTGAGCATCAACTCAGATTATGTGGTGGGGTCTGAGTACCTGGAGAGAGAGCCTTCCAAGCTGTACCCCAGCTCCTCCAGCATGCACCCCTACCGCCCGTTCCCGCTGGGCTACCATGATGCATCCCTGACTCCAGGGGTACCCCTGCAACGGGGCTTCCGCCATGTGTCCTGCAGCCAATACCGTGGAGGAAGCTTGGTGAGTCCCATCCCCAACTTTTTTTCCAGGTTGCTCCTTATCCCAAATGCCCTCGCTGCATTTACAGACCATCAGTCCCAGAAAGCCAATTGATATGTCCACTCCGTACCAGGCCCTGAGCACAGGTCACAGGGATGCAGTATTGACCTTGTACAGTGTGCACCTCTGGGAACACACACATGTAGACAAGTCTGTACATGTGTAGACAGGTCGGCCTGGGCTGTGATGTGGGCTAAAGTCTCTGGGAGCTCAGGCAAGCAGGAATACAGATGCATCTCAGATGAGCCTGGGGAACAGCTGCATGGTGACACTGGCCGAGTGACCACCAGCCTTGACTCCCAGAATGCTGGCGCTAGAAGGGCCCTTCATTTTGCTGGGAAGCGGCAAGGAAGTATTCTTTCCTGAAGCCACACGGTTGAGGGGAGAGCCAGGAGCAGACATAGGTCCTCTGCCCCGAAGGTATGGCTCACTTGAGACAGCAGAGGGCTTTCAGGAGGACGTGGCACTTAAGCTTAGTCATGAAGAATATGGAAACTTTCCCCAAACACCTGTCACCTTACGAGACAGTTGCTGAAAGAGCAAATGAAATTTACTTCTTTTATATAATCAGTGGTCAGTTACTACCTGGTGTGCTTTTGGAGCCTGGAGTTTTGAACGCTGGGTGTGTAAGAGTCAGGCCATCCCTGTTGTGTGAGATACGAGTTGGGGTGACCAGGTTTTGTGGCCTTGGTTACCAGCTCCTTCACCCTTTTCCATTTTGGCAACCCTTGAGGGCCACCAGGACTGCAGGATAGCGAGAGGTCTGCGTGACCAGTCCTGACTTTAGCCCATAAGACTGGACCTGTCTGGGAGGCTGGTTCATACAGAGCTCAAGTCCATGGGAATGTAGACCATTGTTACCTTTACTCCCTCCCTCAGAGCTACAAGCCTAACCCTGGGTGTAGCAGAGGTGTTTCCCTTGGGTAGAGGGTGGAGAAGAGTGAGGAGAGAGCAGGCTTCTTTGGTTTAATGTGGAAAGTGAGTAAGAAAAAGGATAAAATCTTGACATTTACGTAACGAGGTCATTAGCCACAGAGTGGCACATGGGGGCCGGATCCTACTCCTGCTTCAGCCTCAGCAGCCTCTCCTCTGTCTGTTCGAGATATTTTAAAGTTTTATTTAGAAAGCATTTTCCATTGATTCAAGGGAAAAAAGTTTGACCACCACCGGTCTTCATCATTTCCAGGGTGCCTACTGGCCCTTATGTGATTCTTTGAGGAGTGTGTTATTTCCTCAGTGTCCGGTAGAGGATGAAGGCGCAGAGAAGTTACGAATTTGTCCAGGGTCCCAGAACTGTTGAAAGAGGGCCTGGGATTCAGCTTTCCCACCTGGTCAGTGACAGAGCCAAGACAGAGGACAGCAAACATGGCCCTTGATTCTCACCACCACCCCTGCCCTGCCTGAAATCTGTGGGTGCTGGTCCCCCCACTGCAGCCCAGGGAGAGCGCAGCATCTATAGCCTCTACACAAAGAGAGGGGCCTTGGCCAAATGGAGCACACGCCCACCGTCTGCTCACACACAAGCCTGGGGCCTGGCGTCCAGGGCAGGGCTCTGATTGACAGGCCTGCCAGACGGCCTTTGTTAAGAGTGTGATCTCAGTCAGTTTCTCTGGGCCTGAGCTGCCACCACAAGCCCCAGGCAGGAGCTGTGATCCAGGGAGAGACTTGGCTGAGCAGCTTGGAATTAAAGCGCTAATAATCCCCCTTCCCACCCCCTTCACGTCTGGATAGAGGATCAGGCATTTATTTGTGAAGCTGTTGCAAACCCAAGAGCCTGTGAATTGCTTTCCTCCTTGTCCTGCAGCTCCCTGCCCAGCCTCTGGGATAATCCCTGAGCCTTCTTCCGCCTTCTCTTCCTGTCCTGCCCTACCTGCTGCTTCTTTGCTTCCTCTTTTCCCCTCCCACAAAAGAGCACAGGCCTGAAATCAGACAGACCTGGAGTCCAATCCTACCTCCATTGTTTACTAACCAGCTGACCTGGGGAGGTTACCTAACCTCTGAGGACTCATTCAGGTTCTTAGTCTGTACACTGGTGCTAAGAGTCCTATTGCACAGGGCCGTTGACAGGTGCTAGCAATGAGGTTGACTGCGTATAAAGTGTCTGGCACAGGGTCTGGGACATGGTAGGTACTCAAAAGTGGGCTTTCTTCCCTTCCTTGTGGTCAAATTAAGTTAGGAAATGCTGGGTTAACCTAAGGAGAATTTTGCAGACTGCCTCAAGGCTTTAATATTGCTCATGTGTTGACTCAGCAATGTGGGGGCAGTATGCAGCATTTCTCAAACTCCCTGGACAAAGAACACTTCTAAGATCACTTAAAAGCATCTGGTAGGATGCTCCGGTTCTCTGGAACACAGCTTGTGGTGTGCTGCTCTGAAGTCTCTGGATGGAGAAGTGAACAATAGGAACTGCACCTGAAATTCATTATTTTCTATTACATTCGCGTCTTTCTCAGCTAGGCTCTGAGCTGTGTAGTCATCATTCCTCCAGATCCCCTCATTCCAGTCTTGGGGTCCTGTGGGGTTAGCGTCCATCTTCTGAAAAAGGAACAGAAACAGAGAAGGGGTGGATCGCAGAAGCCACCTTCCTGAGGTCACCCATCTTCCCTTGCTGCAGTAACAGCTGCACTACCCCCAAGTCTTCTGTCGTGTTGGAATGGGGACCCCACAGGCCCACCGTGCTTGAGTCTAAGTCCTTACACTGTCAGAAGATGGGACCATAAGCATTTGGGATGCATCTGGACCTTCCCCCAGTGCAGAGCAGTGGAGTCGGGTCCACTTGGGATCCAGGCCTACCTCTGATGCTCACCTTCATCTCCTGACGCTGTTTTTCATCATTACAGTGAGGATGGTAATAGAACCTCCCTCCTAAGGTCATAAGGATGGAATGAGGTTGTGGACCGAGGCATATTCAGCAGGGCTGAGTCCACGTACCGGTGCGGCGTTCCCCAGGCTTACCTGAGATGTGCCTGTATTCCTTCTTGCCCCCAATCTTACGGCGGGTGTTTGGGCCGCAGAGATGAACCTGCTCCATGGGGATCCCCCCACGTGGGAGAATGAGACGTTGGGTCGGCCATCAGGCTAACCCTCTCCCCTCTGGCACTCTGCTGTGTGTGTCCCGCAGGTGGTGGAGCCAGCGGGAGACTTACAGCCAAGCTACTACCCGCCGCCGCTGCCGCCACCGCCGCCGCCGCCTCCGCCGCCTCCGCCGCCTCCACCTCCACCTCCACCGCAGGCGCCCTTGCCGCAGCCGCAGCCCCAGTTCCTCCCGCCGGGCTTCCTGTCGGCGCTGCACTTCCTCCCGCCACCCCCACCGCCGCCGCCGCCGCCGCCCTTCTCGCTGACCATCCTGTCTGATACAGACAAGGAGAACACTGGTAAGTGAGCACCAGTCTTCCAGCTTCAGGGGGAGCCAGAAAGACTTCCTGGAGGACCGGGGTCCTAACAGGAAGTGGATGTGCAGAGAAGGGAAATTTAAAGTGTGCCCGACCCTGGGGTAAGCTCTTTCCTTACAGCCCTCCCGAAATTCCATGCCTGAACATCTCCGGGAAATGGGTCCCCATTCTCAGGTGAGGAACCCCATAGAACCCTGGTTACAAGGCCAAGCTTGGATTTCAGTGGAATTACCCATCTGGCTCCAGGTCCAATGCTGAAGCCCTCACCTGATCGGTCCCAGTGGGCAGAGATGTGGAGGACGACATGTATGTGGTGTGTTCATAAGACCAGAGTGTCAGGCCTCTCTGGCTGGGGAAACAGCATGTGCTGACCCTGGAACAGCAAGTAGAACCAGTTTGGGGCTGGTAGAGATGATCCCTCTCCTCTGCCCCAGCCACTGGGGAGAGAACCAGGCCAGGGGCTAAGACCCTGGCCTTCACAGCTCTGCCACTGGTGCACTGGGTGACCCTGGGCACTCACACCTTCCTCCAGCCCTCAGTCTTCACACCCGTAAATGGGCCCTGTCACAGGGTTACTGTGAGGGTCAACTGAAACTGAATGTGAAAATGCTCTGGGTTTTCTTTTGACGGCCCTTGCAGCTTTAAAGGTTCTAGGATTTTTTCCCCTTTCAATCCTCCCTTGAGGCTCCTCAGGCAAAGAAACCTAAGACCTGCTGCCCAATTGCTGTGTGTGTGACACCTAGATCTATTAGCTGGAGAGATGGTACAGTGTGGCTGGAAGCATGCTGGCCCTGGTGCAGGACAGCCTGGGTATAAGTCCTGGCTCCAGCATTTACCAACAGTGTGACCTTGGGTGGGTTCATTCACTCCTGAGTGCCTCAGTTTCAATATCTGCAAAAGTGGCTACTAAAGGCTCCTTACCTCACGAGGTTTTCCTGAGGATTAAACAGAACCTGAAATGATGAAGACTAGTAAAAATTAGTTCTCAGTTACTGTTTCACCTAATCCCCACACCAACCTGATGCTGCGAGGTAGGTATCACCTCCTTTGACGGAAGGAGAAGCTGAGATTCAGAGCCAGGAGAAGCTTACTTCCTGCTACCCAGCTTGTGACAAGCGGAGCCAGAGTGTGAACTTGGGTCTGTATCATGGTCAGGGCTAGAATTCCAGTCTCCTGACTCCTAGCAAATTAAAGGTGGGAATGGGAATAACTCATTCTCTGTAGGGACTGGGAATGATGAGAATGCCTTATGGGAAATTTACATTTGAAAACAGGTGATTTTCCCTCTTTCTCAGTCCAGCCCCTCTTCTTTTTCCCTCACAGATGACCAGGATGTGGAGGGGCCGGGTGAGCCCAGCCAGCTGTCATCTCAGGAGCAGTCTGACTAGGCCCAGGCCCGCTGGCCAGCAGAGTGGGGCATTGGGGGTGTTACAGCAATGATTTTCTTATCTCCGTTCAGTGAAGTGTACGGAGGAAGGATAGTTTTAGGCATAAGATGGCAGTTAATTCCCATTTGAAGTCAGGAGGAAGGAGGGTGATTGCGACAGTTTTCTCAGTCATGAGTTGAGGGGTTGATGAGGAGCACAGAGGATGAAATTACCAGGGCAGGGCCAAGACTCTGAGGAGTGGGGGGCTGGTGGAAGCTCACATTTAGGAATGAATTGAACCAGCTCTGGGTTGTGCTTCTGTTATCAGACTCACTCCCAGAGGCAGCCTTTGATTTCTTCAGGTCCTGTTCCAGAACAGGGGGCACCATCTATTTCAGCCCGTGGTTCCCAGCTGGAGGGCGACATGGACATCAAGCACCCAGCACCGCCAGGTGGCTGGTGCGAGCAGCCGCAGCCGGGACCAGGGTGCTGACAACAGGTTCTGCAGTGTCCTTCCTTGCTGCACTGTCCCCCATGGTCAGCCTGGCTCCTGCCCCTCACCCCTTCTCCAGGGCTCTGCCAGTAAGCATTCTGGCTGTTGGAACTGCTTCGCTTCTGTCCCATAAAGTTTAAGCCATTAGAGGCCTCATTTTTGGTTTTAAAAAAAATCGATTAAAGTTTGACTCTTTGGTGTTTTTACAGTGATTGCCAACTTTAAAAAGTAGGCTGCTCATAAGCACTGATGCAGTTCTCAGAGAATAGAATGGTGCTTCCAGGTCATCTGTGACATCAGCATTTTCTTCTCTGGGGACAGCTGACTGTTGAATAAAATGAGCAGTGGAAATGCTTGTGGAAGGTGTATTCTCTCTTCAAATCCTTGTGGAAGGCAGCGTTCGGTAGGGGATTCAGGGGCTGGGTTCATGGCCTGTCTTCTCTGTACTTAGACAAGTCCCTCCCTTTACCTCAGTTATCAAGGGAGAGGCTTGGGCCAGGCTAGTAGGTTTTTATTTTTATTTATTTATTTAAAACTATCATTAATGTTGTTATTTTAAGCAGTAGAGACCTTTTAAGGAAATCTGACGCAGACACATTAGATAAAAAGATTTCTTTTAGTTTCCCTTCCCCAACTCCTTTCATGGGCTCTGCAGAGTGACATGGTTTTAAAAAACAGAACTTGATCCCATTTTGCTGTTTTAGGGTCCTGGTTCTCTTCCCTTCATTTCACTTTCTCCTTTTAAAAAAACATCCAGTATCTGTACTGGATTCAGAGCCCGGCCATCAGCTCTGCCGGTGAGGAGCATGGAATCTCGTGGCACAAACAGACAAATAAATAGACAGTCCAATGGGAACGCTATGGGGGCAGAGAGACATAAAGGGGCTTTGAGAGGGGTGGTCAGAGAAAGCCTTCTGGAGAAGTTGGGGCTTCACCTACATCTTAAAGGATAAGAATGAGTTAGGTGAAGATAGGCACTCCCAGTAGGGGGGGGCAAAAAGAGGGTAGGAGACCTGGAGGGAAGGATTTGAAGGTGAGGATCCTGTTCTCTGGGAAGGACTGGCACCCAGGAAAGCAGGCAGACCTGCCTCCTGTCTTGCCTGTAGACCAGGGTGGCAGGAAGATCATTGAGAAGTGATAATCTAACTGTTCTCTTATCATCACTCTGGTGGCTGTGGGACCTGGGTCTGGGCCTGCACTGCAGGAAGGTATTGCAGTGGGACAGCCATGGGAATTTTTCAGTTACTGCTTTATAGTCACAGTGCTTTCAGCAAAGCCAAATCAGGCATGCTGAGGCCCACGTGTCAGCACTGACTTCAGTCTGGACCTGAGGATGCAGTGATTGTGGACTAGCCTGGCTTTGGGGCTGAAGCTATCAGCCACCCCAGTGCTAGCCATTCCCTGGGCAGATGGGAGAAGACCTGGCTTCTGGTTCCACTTGGCCTCACTCACCTGCCCTCACTGGACCCCTGATCTTCTGACAGTATGGCCAGGGGGGCTGGATCAGTGACCTTACTTTTTCATCTCTTTGCTTTACCTTAGACTCCATACTTTGAAAGATTTTTCAGTCAAGCTGCGTTAATCATAAAGCTGTTTTCCCATTTCTGATCAACTGAAATATGAGACAGTCTGTGACCACCTAAGCTCCACACCATTCCAGACCAATGTTCAGTTTGCCTATGGGGTTTGAGATGGGAAGGTCTGTCGTGTGGTAAGAGCAGAGTCCCGTTGTCCTGTGGGGCTCCATGTCCACAGGACTCCTGGAAGAGGAGGCAGTTCTGTAGGCCTGTGATCTGATGATTCTCCAGAGACTGGTCAGCATCTTTCCTGCAGCCTTGAGCGTACCCCTGGGGCGGAAAGACCAACTGTGGGGCAGAATGGGAACCTGCCTAGCTCCCTTCCCCTTGTGTGAACCCCAAGTTCCGAGAGCCCCAGCCTGTGCTTTCCTGTGAGTTCTTACCACAGTTACTTGCCTTGGTGGGGTCAGCAGACCCCTGCTCCCTGTAGCCTTTCCAGTTTAATCCGTGCTCCCTGAATGCCCTGCTCCTCCAGGCTGGCTTCCAAAAGCTTCAGCATGAGCACCGAAACACCAGATCCGCGCATGTTGCTGGCCTGCTCACATGCCTTCCATGGCTCCCTAGTGCTTGAGACCAACACTCAACACAACCGGCCCGCCCATCTCTCCTGCCTCCTCCCTTAGGGGCTGGCCCATCCCATCTCTGGCAGGGGTGGAGACAGCCAGGTCCAGGCAGAAAAGAATCCGGAGCAGAGAGACTGGAGGCCAGAGGCAGCACTGCCCAGCCAAAACAGCCAAGGCTTGGCTATGAGCTAGGAGAACATTCTGGAAGGCAGCAGGCTGGCATGCCCTGACGCCGAATGCACTGGCAGGGCGCCGCCAGGAGAGGGCGCGCAGGCAGCAGCTGTGGGTGTGGCCCGCGGAGGAAAGACTACCACAGCGGCGGGTCCTGTTGCCTAGCGACCGGCTTCCCTAGAACTGCGCAGGTGCATTGCTGGAGAAAGCAAGCCCAGCTGGAGAAATAGGCTTGAAGCGCCCCACGGAGACCTGGGATGTCCCTGGGAAATGAAAATGATGAGCCTCTAGGCTGGGCTGTGTGATCACCAACCCTCTCAGCAATCATCTGTGCGCTGACCTGCCCGTGAAATAGATGCGTACTACTATCTTTGTTTTCAGAAACCAGTCCTAGCTCCAACCCCTGTGTCCCATGAAATATCCCCCTGCTTTCTCTCCTTTTAAACTTTTGCACATGCTGAGCCGTCTGCCTAGACGCCTTCCAGGTTCACCTAGTCATCTCCTACTTAGTCCCGGGGCCCCGTCCTCCAGGGCCCCTCAGCCTGGCTTAGGAGGCTCTGTAGGGCCTGCCCAGCCCCTCTGTCACCCTCTATCACCCTGACCCCACCCCGAGTAGATGTCTCTCCCACAAGTCTGTGGGCTTTCTGGAGACACTGACAAGGTCCCATTTGTCTCTGTGTCCCCACTCCCAAGGTGAGCTCAGCGTTGGTGAGGACTGCAGTTATCCAATGCCTTTTGCAGAATGAATGGCTGAATTTTAGAGCCATTTAGTGCGTTATTGGGTGGAGGGTTGAGTTGCCCTGTCTCTATTCACTCACTGCAGCATCTTCTGCCTTACACTTGTGCTCTGTCTGCTCAGACATCACACAGGGGACCAAGTAACAGGGAGTCAGCCTTCACCAAAACTCTATTGTCTGCCAGGCACTGCCCCTCTACTCTCATTTAATCCTCACAAAAACCCAGGGAAGATGTACACTATCATCCCTATTTTACGAAAAAAGTGAGGCACAGAGAGGGATAGTGATTTACCCAAAGTCACACAGCTTATAAGTGGCCAAGAGTGTGTAGAGGGCAACATATATCCCTGGCACCAGTTACAGAATTGTTAATATCCCCTTTGCCCTGAATTACCATCTTGAGATTTTTTTTGAACATGGACCACCTGAATGCACCCTCATTTCTAGACAGATTCTGGCATAGCACAGGGAGAGCAGCCTGAGGACATTTGCCTCCTGAAACCACTGCCCACTCTACTCACTGACCCCAGCACACAAAGTCTCCTGAGAGAATGTTAAAACAGGCATCCTGGTGACCAGTGTGGGAAGGGCCCTCGGGGTCTTTGGGCAGAAGGCAATCAACATCTCCTGTTTCTCAAGCTCCTGCCCTGGACTGGGCTTCACCATAAGCCCCATTGTGCGAGCTGGGACTGACAGAATGCTCGTTCTTGTGGCCAGAGTGGAGCAAGGACGAGTGTCTTCTAAGGCTGCACCTCTAGGTTTTGGTCCCTCAAGCCCTACTGGAGGGAAGCCCTCCCACCATGACACCCCCTGTTTTCGTGGAGAGTGGGGTGGGGTGCTCTGCAGACCAAACACCCCCCTCTGTGCCTGCGCAGGGGACAAAATCCTCTCCCTGCTGCCCTGGGGATTCTCACAGCTCCTTCCACTCCTGGATGCTGTGGTCTTGGTGGGCCCAGGCCCAGGCCCCTCTCACTGGAGAGCTGCTCGGAGACCCTAGAATGAGCTGGGGCCTCTTTTTCTTGGCCAAGGGCCAGGGTCTTTGGGCCAAGCTCTTCCTTCTCACCTCTTCCTAGCTGTGTGCTCTTGGTCACATCACATAAGGTTTCCAAGCCTCCCTTTACCCTCTGTAGCGCTGGTTCAGGGTGTGCTAAGGCTACAGGGAGCTCTCACGTGAAATACACCTTTGATGACGCCTCTCGTCTCACAGTGTATGGTACCTATGTGTTCAGAGGATTGAAGGCAGCGTCCTCTTTGAGACCATGTCAGGAGGCTAAGCTCATAATTTCCTGGCGCTCCCACTGCAGGGCCCTGTACTGAGTGCTTTCCACATACTCTTCCTGTGAATTCTCACAGCGACTCCTCCAGGCAGACACCTAATACCCCTGTCTTACAGATGGCAAAACTGAGGCCCTCAGAGGTTAGCATCCTGCTCTTAGTCACACTGTCCATAAGTGGCAGAGCTGGGATCAAATCCGAGTTCCTCTTGAGCCCAGAGCTAAGTTCCCAATCACATTTTCCTCTCCTGCTTCTCAGCAAGGGGGTCTTGTGAGTCTTGGGGAAGTCGTGGGCCCCCAGGACCTGCTGTTCAATTGCAGTCCCCCCAGCCCAGCTGTTTTCAAGGCATGTGGACAGGCTGAAAACAAAGAACTCCCTAGCTCAGGTCTTACATAAGGAAGAAAATCATTAAACAAAATTCAAACCCTTTAATTTCATTTTGAAAATGAACAAAGAAGTATGCAGTCATTTTTTAAAAAAATGAGTACTAATAGTATATTAGAATTTAAATATACACCCTTCCAAAAGGTAGACAGTAAAGTTATTAACAGTTGTGGTTTTAATTCAAATGTAATCTAGGAAACAGTTTTGATTTTAACTGGGATGATTTTCTTCATGCTCATTTCTTTCTTTTCTTTTCATTTCTTTTTTCCCCCTCATTTCTTCATCTTTTTGGTTTTGTTTTTAAATAAGTAATTAATTGCGAATATAAGTAATACATGAAAATGCTAAACAATTTAAAACTTTAAACCAGAAGCAAGTATTTTTTTCTCTACTTCTGTTAGCCATTCTCGTTTCTTTCTTCAGAGATGTCCCCTCTTTTTTCTGTCTCCTTCCAGAGGTGATTTGTACAAGCTTTTTTTTTTTTTGGTTTAACTAAACTTTAATTTTGAGGTAAATATAGACTCACATGTAGTTGTAAGAAATAACCCAGAGAAATTTCACGTACCGTTTACCAGTTTCCCCCAACGATGCAATATTGCAACTAGAATAACTTTGTAACTTTGCTACAGTCCACTCAATTTATT